ATATTTTCTGCAAATTGACCTTGTTATTCAATCCTACTTATGTCTAAGGGAAATGCTATTAGATAACTTTTTGTCTCATTTTTTTTTATAATCTGAATGTCAATAAAATAATTAAAATTTTTAATTAATGTAGGATTCATAATATTGAATATATTAACTCATTTAATGATATGTAAAAGTTGTATAAAAAAATAACAAAAAAGTTAAAATTTTAATTGGCATTTGGAATTCAAATTGGTTGGTAGATTTATTCTCTTTTTATTTATTTTTATGTATCATTTAGTCTCCCTCTTTAACACCTTGATAATCAGAAAAATGTTTATTTATTAGTAGAAATTATAAAAAAAAATATTAGGTGAAAAAATACTTTAACTAATTTTAATAAATTTTTATTAAAAATATTAAAATAATTTTTTAAAAGTAAATACTATTTTTAACTTTCTTATGATGTTTTAATTTTAAGAGTGTTTTTTTCTAATTTTTTTACCACAGTAGATAAATACTAATTTCATCACTAATATCCAATTAAGTTAAATTTATTTTTTTTATGTTTAAATTTGAGTGAAGGATACATTTGTGATTCGGTGATATAAAAATAATTTTTTATATAATTTTTTATTTTTATGTATTATTAAATGAGTTGATAAATTTAATATTATAAATTTTAAATAAAAAAAATTAATTATTTAAATAATAAATAAAATTATAAAAGAAAATAATAGAAAAAAACCATCTCTAAATCATATTACTTTGTAATTTGCCAGCAATTGGGACGAAAAAATCCCGTTCAAATTGCCACCTCAGCGAAGTGGGTCCCCAAAATTAGCAAAATTTACACCTCATCGCCATATCATCCGTGAAACCTGCCACGTTGAGCTTGCCGTTTGTATTTAACGATTTGATGACGTAAGCGGTTAGAAAAGGGCTGTTTTTCTGACGTGGTGCACTTTGATTGCTACCCCACCTCTCACCGCCGCAGATGCGCATTTTAAGTCCACAGCCTCCGTGATCTGACGACAAACGCCATGTCGTCAAGCTCCAGCACCTTCAATGCCGACGTTTCCCAGCCGCAGGCGGAGCTGGTGTTCGGCGATATCTCGGTTCCGATCATGGGAACCGAGACCATCCCTTTCTCCTCTGGAAACCCAAGAATCGAAGAGACGCGCGGCGTCATGCACCTTTTCTCCAACGATGCCAACTATCCCTCGTTTCTACCCGTAAACTCCTCTCTTATAACATCTAGCATTTGCCTTGTTCAAGAGATTTTTTCTGCATGAAATTAAGCTAATTTTAGCGGTGAAATTCTAGATTTAAATTGTTTTTAGTCATGAAATCGGAAAATTGAGGAATTTGGAAGGGTTTTGTCGGTTTTTTGTACTTTCGTTCTGAAGCTAATTGTTCATCTTTGAAGATAACCATCATCCGTGTGTTTTAATGTTTATAGGTTGGAAGGAAACCTCTTGTATGTGTTCTTGGGGTGCCCAACCACATGACATATGCAGACTTTTGCCAGTTTTGTGCTTCTTTCATCCATCATATATTAGAGATGAGAATTGTCAGGTAAAACGATTGTCATACTGCATCATAATCTTTCTGCTGTGGTTTTAAGACTAGATAGAGTTCCTTGAGATGATGCTGTCACTTTGTGCATCAGGGTTTTTCATTTTCTGGGCTGCTGGTTTGTGGGATTGGGGTTGTTTTTCCTTGTTTATTAAGGTTTGCTACATGGTGGTTAGGAATGATGGAATGGAGGACCGCTATAGTGTTTTGATACGATTTGATAATCAAGACTCTGCAGATAAATTCTACCAGCATTTTAATGGGAGACAGTTTAATTCACTTGAGGTATTTCTTTTCTTTTGTTACTTACATTTCTAGTCATTCTAGAATATTTCTATTTATAGAAGAATATAAATTAATAAGAATTCTCCGTATTAATAATGTTGCAATTGCTTATATACTTTCTAAGTTGTCTATTTTGGTTTTTTCTCTTTATGTTTAT